CAGTATGTTTTTGTTATCAACTTTTTATTACGTTTCAATTAGGATAACGCAAACAGTTTTCTTGTCTTTTTTTAGAACTTTACGTGTACGTGTTATACTTAATGTTATACTTAATGGTTTTCTGTCGATTTTTTTTATTTAACGAGTTGCTTGTTAAAATATAATCAGAATTATTAAATATTGTAGTAACATTAATTTTTATCATTCTTTTAATTAAAACGATGTTTAATTTTATTCATTGCGGCAGGTCTATCAAATCTTAAACCTAGCCATTCAAACTGTATTTTAAGGATCCACAAGCATATTATTATCATGTAAGTTTGAACTTTCTCGGAGTAGTAATAATGATAGTATCTAAATGTGTTAAAATAGTATTTAAAATTTTTTTTTGGCAGTTCTTTTTTTTCTTTTTTCTTGATTTTGTCTAGCAATTGGTCGTCATTTTGTAATCTCCTTTTTCCTGTTTGCAATGTAGGTAAAAATAATTATATTTTTCAATAAATGGAAAAGTAACAGAACATTGAAATAATTAACTTACTTTGTCTGGTAATGTCAGTACTTTCCATAACGATGATATTTCGGGAAAATTATTTCTGCAAACAATAATAATTAGTATATTAATTCGTTTCACTCTTTCATCTTGATGATAAATTTGCTTTTAGATGAAAGATAAAATGTAACAGTAAAAGTGCAAGTTTTTAAACGATAAATATCGAAACTAATTTTTTGCTTGCAAGAACACAATTTTATTTATTATTATATCATGTAAATCGCATATCTATTTTTACGCTTCAGATTTGATAATAAATATTTGATTTATTTACCAGCCTGATTCTAATACGGATAAAATGTAAAATCGTTACAGTCACAAATTTTACAACGTGCAATAGGAGCGGGTAAGCGATTCGATAATAAATCGGCGAAAATTGAACAATACAAATCGCGTAAAAATTACATAAATTGCGATTGCGTCGTAACTGCGAAAGTAGTTTTTTTTCATAACAATATGATTTGGAATTGTAAGAGGCTAGAGCGTTGAACGAGCCGATACCGAATGGCGAACTGCGATGTGAACTCCGAAACGACAGACGGTGTATATCGAAGTTTTTATTTAACGGAGTTGAAATCATATGAACTGTTTTGTAGTATACGTGTGCGCACATATATGTATGTGTACCAGTAGCGTATGTTTTCCAGTAGCGTTTACCTTGAACATAATCGGCCAAAATGACGACGTAAATGCGCATAGCTGTTAAGCGCGACTTTATGCCTAGGAGATAGTGCTGGTCACCGTTCTGGTATATCGCTGTTTCGCGTTCTAGCCGGGCTTACGTGTCTCGTAAAGGTCGGTCGTAAGACATCGATGTAATCGAAGTACTCTCCTATCGTAACAGTCGTACGCGAATTCTCGTATCAGAAATTTAATTCACTTTTTCAATGAACGTTAGTGTAGAAGAATTTAATGATATATATATATAAAAAATCCTCTAATAAATTATTTTAAGAGATATTATATATATATATATATATATCAATATTTAAATCAGTATGTCAATGTTTTACTTCTCTTAAAATACAATTAAATTAAAAATAAAATTAGAATATATGGATTAAAGAAAAACAAATTCTTAAGAGATTAAAATTTAAACAAGCAATTCTATAGAAAGAAAGTGAAATAAAGTAATAATGTTATAAAGTTACTATATACAGTTGGTCTGGGACATTCTGTATATAAATTTGTGTAGTTCATAAATTTAATCATGATAAAAAAGTGATCGCGTTTACTTCAAGAATTATATTTTTTGGATTTTTTTTTTTTAAGAACTTTTTAATGTGATATTATTAACTTCGGAAATATTTTAATGTAATTTAGGTAGGAGACAGTATAAAAAATTTAGAAAAGTTTGTTTTTTTAATTAGCTTTTGATCAAAAAAGCAAGCGGCTAACAATCAATTCATAGCCGACGGAGCGCTGCGAAATATTTCAAAACGTACGACAAAGCCGACCTACGTTGAATGAAAATTAAACCAGTGCTTTCATATTCGCTTCGTAAAGAGATGGACTTTACGAAGTAACTCGGGAATTATGTTTTTGCATTATAACTCTCATTGAGGGACAATGCGTATGCATACAGCGTATATTTTCAAATTGCCACGCCGTCATGGAGAGGGCCGTATATATTTCCGATAATTCAGCAGATATTTTAAAAGTTAAAATAAAATCTTGAATTTTTTACAAGCATTTATCCGATTTTTTTTAACAAGCAAAAATCGCCTCTTTATATCCTATAATTTTTTGATCCCTTTTTTTTCTCCACTCTAATGGAAAAACTGCAAAGCTCTCTTGTCGCCTCTCTGATATTTGATGTGCCTTCTTTTTGCACGTGTGAATGCTGGAATTGCTGGAATATCGATCATATCAGTTAGTGCTGTCCAATATTGGTTATCTATTTGCCTCGTTTTACAAATTATGTCAGTTTATAAATTATGCTGGAATAACAGACTTTTTCCATGATATAGCAACATCCAAATGCAACTATGTCACCGGTATCAGATATTTTGCAAATGCGAAAACGAGTGTCGTCTCGTTTTGCATGTAAACATATAACAACTCTTGCGCGGATTCAGTGTCCGATCACAAAGTGACTATTTTCAGTTTATCTACCGTATTCAAATAAAGCCAGAAATGCTCTTTGATTCTAAAGCTGTAAAATACATTCATTACTTTTGAAAATTCCTCTCATACTGCGCTTTACATGGTCAGCGTAATTACTGCAAAGATGATTTCAAAAGTGATTAAAACTGTTCTCGTAGTATAATCTTTGCTTTCTGTGTGTCGTTATACCTGTGACATGTATTCACTTTCAACTACGGAATAAAAAATACTCGTGCATTTGTTCTAATAAACTGTTACCGTTGTATTGAAATCAACTTTATAACTAGATTCTAGATTAGCAGTGTAGTAATTAATGTCGTTTTTTAAGATTATCGAGTCAAACAATCAGCGACTGTGTATTTTGCTGTAGTTCACTATAATAACTGTAATTTTGCAGAAGTCTATCACATGATTATGTGTTGCGTGATCACTAAATCGTCACACCGATTTAACAATAAATCGTCTGAGCGAACATTTATATCCGCAGGCAAGGCGGCACTTTTCGTATCGCGACTTGAAATTCGACTATAACGTAGTGCTCATACATCGTGTACATACAAAGTTTAAGGCTTATTGCGACGCGGGCTTTCATGAAAAACGGCGGAGATTTCGTCGATGGCGCGTGACTCGGGTGCGATACGAAGGATCGTCTCTCGGAATACTCGGAGAGTTTCTTTTCGCTTCTCAATTTCGTCAGTCTGTCTTCTAAACCCGACGATTTCGATAACTCTTTTTTTTGCCATTTTAATGCGTTACGATCGAAATGGCACGCCGGGGCATCGATTTGGCCGCCGCGTCTGCTGAGCGGACATATATCCGGGACATTTGTTTTCGTGCGATCGATACTGTCGGGAGCGCGAGCGAGTAACACTTGCGTGCCAAATGATAAATACATCTTGATCTCGACTATGAGCGCGAAGAGAGAAAGTGATAAAACCATGGATAATATCGATTAGACGATATAGCGTAATAAATAAAGGCTTTAGTTAGATCCGCTCATTTGTTTTTAGCTCTCAGACATTATAGATTTTTTATATCAAACAGATTTACTTATTGTTAGTTCAAAGGAGAAAAGGCGAATTCTTGCTTTGATGGAACACGCCGATCGATGCGAATCATATTTCTCGAAACGATCGTAGAGTTCTTGTTATTTTTAGACTTTTTGATTGAAACTGACGTGACATATTCGCTCGAATGCAGCTCGTATACCTGCGATCGTAGTTATTGGCAGTCAGGTGGCAAGTATATTTGGGGAAAACGCTTGGCGAGGGGAAATAAGCTGCACGGGTATAACTGGGACAACCAATAAAAGTCCGATGGAAACGATAACGAGCATTCGTCAATGATCCCATATGGGTATGTCTATTACTTTTATCCTTGTTTCCTGACCGCCTGTTTTTATTTCAATGTTATTCATTATTTTCGCCTCTGTCGCGTATGTCACGAATATCCGTGTCGGAAGTTTTTTTTTGTTATCACGTATCAGTTGCATAACACAGATTGCTACTTTTTACAAACAGCAATGGCAGGCTGCAGGCGACATCGCACAATATTGTTGCGTGTCACCGTTCGAATGGACCTGAATATGCGTGTAAAAAAATCGCACGATTAAGTGTGGTACGTGATGGAAACGCTGGTTGAAATTTGCTCGCGTTCGGGGTTGAAAAATTTTCGAGTAACACATAAAAGAGGAGTCACGTGCATGCTCGGCGATTCATCGATTATCTAGGTTCTTGGAAATTATTACTTCGGTCGGATAATTCGAACGAGCTGAGATTCGAGGAGCGATTTAATTACCGTGAGAAGTTCCAGAGTCTTAAAGACGTGCAATTTCTAAGGTAATGAAAGAGTCGTAAAGAAATCGTCGAAGCTTCGGTAACGGCTTCTATCGAAGATATTGAAGTTTAAGTGAACTGAATTAATCAAAAACGATTTTATGTTGTATTTGTTTGTTTTGTTACGGCGAATCGCATTATAAATATTGGTAAAGGTATAATAGATATTATACTATAGAAATGTGTATGTATCTCGATAGATCGATAGATCGATATACATATGTCGTGAAAGTATGTAACAAGTTTTCCACTTATATATCTCATGCAATTACAAATTTAGTAAGAACATGTATCGATATCGTGTACTATTACACGTAAATAGATTTACCAACTACAAAACGAATGCGCTACAAATTATACATGAATTTGCATGACATCACATTTTATATCTACTTAATTTTGAATCCAAAGAGAATAGAGTATTATTTTGAATGATAATATTATTAAATTATATTACAGTTCTGTTTGTCTGTATGTTGTTGAAATGTGAATATATTTTTGTTTTACAGATAAAGTTTTGTGCTAGTGAATCGTCAAATTCGTTCTACCGTAATTTCATTATTGTAAGACAATGAAATATGTGTCGGGAGTGCCGTAATAGTCTCGCGCGAGTTCGAAATGTCGAATTTAGCGAGTCTATAGACAAACGTATTTTCCTCGAATGCAACGACAAACTTTGGGACACGATTAAATTAAAGGGGGGGGGGCTTCTTTTTTTGGGCTCGGCTCGGGGGACGGATCGATTTTTATCATGGAATCTTGACTGAGGCCTTCCATTGTCAGACATATGATGCATGATGCATGATGCATGATTATCATGTTGCTTTTTGCATGCTCAAAAAAAGCGCGATATTATTTAATAATAACTTCGAAATTATATGCTTCACGGCATAAAAGTCAGAATGTTTTGGCTTGAGTCCGTTGGTATTGGCACTGAAATGCTGCTAGGATACTCGATATTCGGTTAAATTCATGACTAATTGCACCTTACCTTTTTCGGACTTATGTCTTCTATTTTGAGATAATCGTGCCCCAATTGATAAATGCGGTTGTCTGAAACGTGGACGGGATAACGTCGCATCTTGGACAATTCGGTTCGATTCGCTTGCGATGTCGGGAGTGCCGTTTAAAGTGACCCGCGCGATATCTCGTGCGTCGCGACGCGTGTGACTGCCATGAAGGATCACTGAGAGGAGGAGGTCTAGGAGGCATCGGGCAACAACAGAGCAACCGAAGAGGTAATCACTTAATGTAATCGTAGGACAGTGTCCCCAAAATCATTATGAAATCCTTACGAAATCCCAATGTAATTGTTTTACAATCAGATGTAATTATGAAGCCAGATGAACTTGTAACTTACAAGTTGGGATAAGTTTTCTAAATGATATTATTTTTTTTTTTTGTTGGAAAGCTATATATTATACAGGGTGTCTGATAATTGCTGAATCACCTCTCGGGTGTAGGTAGAGCGGGTTAAACCAAGTAGAAAAGTCCTCTACCATTTTGCGCAATAATTAATGGGGAATTAGTTAAGAAATATCGGCCAATTCGCGCGCGTTTAAGTGCGCAGCGAGAAGAGACCCGTGGCGGTACAGTCCACTGTTATTTGATTATTACTAGGCATGCGATGAAGCGTTGGGAGGAGCGCTCTACAATTGACAACGGTAACATACGAGCGGTGCTGAACACTAGATCCTTGCGTCCTAGCGACCACGTAACAGTGGTCTGTCTCTTCTCGCTGCGCGCTTAGATTCGCGGAAATTGGCCGCTCTTCTTTAATTAATTTCTCATTAATTATTGTGAAAATCGCAAAACGGTAAAGGACTTTTCTACTCGGTTCAACCCGCTCTACCTACACCCGAGAGATGATTTAGCAATTGTCAGACACCCTGTATAGCCGTTTTGTTTATATTTTTATATGTACCTATTACCTAATATTTGGTTTATTTTTATGTAACTTATAAAAAACGAGACTTACAAGCTACATAAGTACTCATAGAATATAAAGTATCTTTATTTTTTGTTGTGAAGCGATAAAACATGTTTGTCATTATGTTTATGTTCTTTTATTTTTTATTTTATGTTACTTTTTATAATCTTTGATTGTTTTTATTATTATACATAATATAGTATGTTTGGAATTTACTTAAGCCCCACTTTAAACGATTCTATTTCTTATGGATAATAATATTATTATTAAGCTGCAGTTATATAACTATAATATCATTGTAATGTAAATGTATTTATATTTTACAGGTAAACTTTGTGCGCGTAATCAGTGCTACGAAATGTATTCGTTCCGTAATTTAACAAAATGCGCGTCGGGAGTGTCGTTCAAAGTGCTGCGCGTTTATCGTATTCAAGTACGCACGCGAGCAATGCGTGTGTGCGCGACGCGTGTGAGTGTGTGAGTGCCTTGGAGGATCATTGAAAGGAGAAGAAAGGCGTAGGAAGCATTGGACAGCAGCAGAGCAACAGTATGGTAAGTAATTTATTATAAAAAGTTTATTTTTTAACACAGAATGCAGAGTACAGAGCTATTTTCTGTGTGAGCTAGGTTTTTTATTTATCTAAATTACTTATTATTTATTTATGGTAATTTAAAAAAATCTGTGAAATAGTAAAAATATAAAATACAATTTTAAAATAGTGTGGAAAATTAATATTTGATAGTGCAAAAATAATATTTTAAACAGATTTCTGCAAAATTTAATAGTTACTTTACACTTTAAAAGTTGTTTCGAATGTTAAATTTTTTAACTCAGCTCTAGTTTCAATAGACGATAGCTCTCTGATGATTGATGTACATACACGATATGCGTTTTGGCACGCGTAGCATCAGTTACCGCGGTATAATTTAAAGTGAACTCGTAAGTCTGACAGAGTCCACTATTAAAATATAAAGTTGTATATGCCGCGTAAAGCTTCTTATCAGTTAATATAATTAATTAACAAATTAGTAAACAATTAGTTATCGTATATTGTTACTTACCGCGTAATACATTTCTACGAGTTTTGATATATGAAAATTATTACCAATGCTACCCAATGCTTAAATATTTAATTTATTACATGAATTTTAATAACTAAGTTATCACGCAAATAATAATGATAAGCTGATTATTGTGTAACATTTATTATTGAGGTTATTGATCAAGAGTATTAAACAAGAGGCAAAACATTCGAATTATATGACGAAAATTAATGGTGCATGTTTTATGGAATTTATATAACGAAAGTTTGTTATATTTATAACGGAAAGTGCGAGGTATGTGTGTAGGCAGGCACTCGGTTGAATAATTAATTGCGTGATCAAGTTCAGTTCCATATATCCGGCCGGAAAACTGCCGGAATATCCTATTTCGAATAAAGCCGTCGTTCTCGCCGTAGCAATTTTGTCTCAATTCATTCGAGGTTGCCGAGGAGAGTTACTGTGGCTTTTCCTCGGTCGGTGGATCTCCCGGTTGCGTATAGAACGCAAAATAGTTCGCTCCCTCGTTTCCGCTCGGAATACTTTCTGCATAGTTCCGGCGAATTACGTGGGTATGTACCATACTTGGCAGTGCGATTTAAATAGTTCGAAGGGATTTGCCGAGGAAAAATCCGATAAGAGCTTCCTTAGCGTTCCGTTTGACGATTTCGAGCCCCGCAATTCCTACAATTTTGCCTCCGCCATCCATTTCTCTATTTCTTCCTCTTTTAACTGCCGGCACTTCGAATCTCCACACCGGCCAAAGTAAACGGGCTACTTTGTCCGTAATATTTAATGATCTCTTCTTTCCGTGCTCTCTTCGCGTCCGATTCTTGGAAAAGGGTAGCAGAGAGAAATCTTGAATACTAATTTGTTTAAAGTATGGTCGTTAATTGAATCGTTCAATACCGCGTTACGATCGCATGAAAATCTGATTTTCTTGGTGGATTGTCGCGTAAGGAAATGCACAGTCTGTAGTAAATAAATGGAGAAATGAGAAACGCGTATATAAACCAAGGACTCTGATTCTAAAATTAGCGGTGCGCAACTAGATGATTAATCGCATTAGTAAAAAGTTACTAATATTTATATTAAATGAAAATACAAGAATACATTTTAACATCCGCACATGCTTTAATAAATGAAATAGTAATTTCTGAACAAGTACCTTGTTGCATAACGTCCGACATATTCGTTACATGCATTACACTGTACATTATATCGTGGAGATAGACATACAATGTCGCACATCATATAAACAATAGTATTTCCTTTCGGTTGTGCATATATTATTCGTATTATCGATCTGTTTGTTTTACCTAAAAGAGAAAGTTAAACGTGCACATGTCATTGCGATTATTCATCTCGTGCAATAAAGCGCTGGTGAAAGAAGAGGAAGGATTAAATCAAAGTTGAAGTTTTGCGAGGCGTTAACGTTCCACGAAGTAATTAAAAAGTGTGTCTGTAATCAACGCGACAATCGACGCGAGCGATCTTCGAGGCTGCCGCTTTAACGGGAAAATTTTTCCCTCGAGCGATTTTACTGGCAGTTCTGACTTCTCGCGAACTCGACGCCGGCAGGTATTTTTTTCGTGACAGAAAAGCGCTCGAATTGAGCTGGGAATTACGTGGGTCCCAATTAAATTTCTCCATCCGCTTGCTGGTATGATTCGAAATCGATACCGATACCTGGAATGACATCGGCTAATGATGTCGATGGGCTGATTCGATGAGCACGAATCGAAGAAAAAAAAAGTGGAAATAGAGAAGAGAGTTTTTCCGATGCGCTGAATGGAGCCCTTGTGTTTCTTATTAACTCGATGATTTCAATGAGAAATAAATTGTTTTCATTCAACAAAAATTCAGGTTTTTCGGCTTTTCTATAGAAAGGTATAAAAATCTATTTCTATAATTTTTGTAAAAATCTATTGATGTGTCAAAATGTTCTGTTATTCTACATGAAAAGTAATCGGCGTTTGTATCTCTCTCTTTCTCTTTTGATTTATTTAAAAAAAAAGCATCTCGAATTATTTTCATAGCTTGCTGACTTTCGTATCAAGATTATCTGAAATACGTGGTACATCAATGTATGATTGTTTGTAATATACAATCTTCGTATCTCTGTTTCTCGAATGAGTATTTCTCATTAAAGCATGATACAACTCTGTTCGTCGATTCTACTGGTAATTTAACTTCCGACGGTACGCCGGCGACAAAGTTAAATCGAACTCGAATGAAGGCCTTCAAGCGTGTTTCTGCACCAACGACGAGAATAGAGCCTAATCGTCAGTACGAAATCCACCACGTTTCATATGTCATATAGGCTTTACATCGAAGTAATTATTATCAAAAATATATTTTTTTTCTATTTTTTAACGTAGGAAGTTTTTTAATCGATTCTACAGCAATTGCAATTTTTTTTAAAACGAAACTGTATATAACAGAACGAAATATTTTACGTTTAAATAAAAAATATTAATAGTAAATCAAATTTTGGCTTGAAAATCCCTCCGGCATAGTTTGATATACAAATAATTGCCGCGGAAGAAAATTATGCATCATTACGCAACAATGCCTACATGATTAATGTAAAAAGAGCTCTTTGTACATACTTGATTAATCTGCGCGACAAAGGGTCGCTTATCGCATCGATGCCTCATGTAAATGAAGATTGAATTTTCGTTGACCAGCTCTCTATTTTCGATAAATACTTAACCAAGCGTGTCAGTTTCTGTATGTACGTCTATATTGATCTTGTTTGCGATGAAAATCTATTAGATATGAAGATATATACATATGAAATATTGTTTTCATATTGTTTTATATTTATCGTGAATAACATTATTGTTTTTATTTCAACATTATTATTTTAATAATTTTTTCTGAGCGTTTTTTTTATCGCGTCGAGTTTGTTGCTTTTTTTGCTTGTCTGCGATATTGCTATTTTAATATTAGAAGATACTAAAATAGAACGCGTACAGAGGCCTTGGCACGACGGGTAGATCGTTAATCGGGAGAAAAACTGTTGGCAACGTTTACCTCGTAAATCAGTGTAGCTAATACATGGATTACCATGCCGGTTTGGGTGTTAATACATGATCACTACAATTTGCGACTAATTATAAATTATACCATACGTTTCTACGTATTATCACACGAGACACTGCATCTCTATCTGTAAATACGTCTTTCTGTAGAATGTCTCTTTCCATAGAAAATACATTAGTTTACTTGTAACTGAATGAATTTAAATAGTACAAAAAAGAAACATGATATTAGAGGAAATATATGGAAGTGTGTTAAACGTATTCCAATTTCTCGCAAGTTACACATCTAGTACAGTTTTAAAGACAATTACCTTAGGGTGGTTAACTATCTTAATTAACTTTAACCTTAGCTTAACTGACTCTTTGTTCCTTCCTGAAACTAGACTAGCAAAGAGACAAAGAATCAGTTAAACTACGGCCAAAGTTAATCGACACTAATGAAACTGAGCCTTGAAGGATTAACTAACAGTTTCTTGAAAGTCGATCACAAGTTTCAATCTCCGTAGATGCAATTTTATGCATGTCTCGTGTCTTGACAAGGCACTGCTGCATTGCATGAATTCAGACTTGTGCTTTATTGAACAGAAATTAGTCTGTTCTTCCATGCTGAAGCTAACTTATACTATACAGTCGGATTATTCGGATTATTGTGCAAAATTACATACCGTACTCATAGACCGAGTTTGAGTTAAATCACTCGATATATCATCATGCAACTCGTATTTACGTGTACGTCCACACACGGTACTGGTGTATGACATATCGAGTGACAGTAACTACGATATTAAATTCTGAAGGACGATCTAGGGACGATATTACGAGCGCTCAACTCTGAAAAATGATCACAGAAAAAGAGGATTCTTCTAGTCTGTCAAAGGCAGTATCTTTCCGCAAAATTCTTTGAAATTTTACTCCCCTTGCATGAACTTTAGCGTATAAAAAGGAGAGGAAAAAACGCTTTAATTTTGCACAGCTGGATTTCTAGAATTTTATATATTTTTTACAATTATATGAATACCTATATTACAATAAGCATATATTTTTCGGTAAATTCGTGCTCAATGAGAATGATGTATCGCAGTATGACGTAGATGACGATGATAATAGATGACTTCAAGGGTTTATAAGCTTAGACAGAATAAGATTATCTAAGGTGGATTTAACGAGACTTCGCATATCGCCGAGGCAAATGAACGAACGACGATGGATGAGAGAAACGTTATAAAAGAAAACACGAGAAAATCCTTATCGCCATTTCGACCACTTCCATTCTTTTTCCGCGTCGAATGAGTATCTCTATCCGAAATATTTAAATGCGAACGCTATTCTACTGTCGTATTCTCGGAGACTTTCTGCTTTCCGCAATCTTTTTTTTCTTAGTGGGATTAACCAACGATATTATTCTTCAATTTGGATTAAGTTCTTTCCTTCTAAGTATCGCGGACTTTCTGAGCTCGTCTAGCA